ATAAAAATGATAATAAACTAATTTTTGACAAATAACTGTTTTGGCCATCCTGACACATAAACCCATGATTATGGGAACGTAATATGTCTTTACCAAGGCATAAATAAGGAATTCTATACTATATATACATGGGCTGGCCAGTAAGCTAATACATTTGACTATCTTGTTTACAATGTTGATTTAATAGAATAACAGAGTTGGAAAGGATCTTGGAGGTCTTCTAGTCCAACCCCTTGCTCAAGCAGGAAACTCTATACCATTTTAGACAAATGGTTGTCGAATCTCTTCTTAAAAACTTCCAGTGTTGGAGCTCCCACAACTTCTGGAGGCAAGTTGCTCCATTGATTAATTGTAACTTGTCAGGAAATTTCTCCATAGTTCTCGATTGGTTCTCTCCTTCATTAGTTTCCGTCCACTGCTTCCTGCTTTCAGATGCTTTGGAGAATAGCTTGACCCCCTCTTGATTTGCAAAGATTTAATAAGTAATAAGAATCTTAGCAGACTATAATGTCTTGGATGTGAAAGATTAGATAATATAGGTGTCTTAGAGCCTTTCGTCAACAACTACATTTTTGAGAAAGGAAATTCTTTGTGAAAGCACGAGGATGAGAGCAGTGGTGAGATTCCGTCAGTTCTCACCACTTCAGCAGAACCGTTAGCTAATTTTTTGTTGTCCAGGCCTAGAATGGACTTCCGGAAGCGGCATCCACACAGAGAACCGGTTGTTCACAGATCTGAATCCCACCACTGGATGAGAGGTCCCTAAATTACAAATCTGAACCTAACTCATGAAAGCGCCGCCAAAAAAAGGGAAATTTCATTATAAGTAATGGATTACACAACCTTTCATCCTTTCTCTTTCTTCAGACTACTTGGTTTTTAAGAAATCACAAAGGAAAGATGCATGCAATAATTGTATTTTACCTCTCTAACTGTCAGTCTTTACTTCTCTAACATGCTGATAATTTCATCAGATACATAATCTCGTTCTGGTATAAAGAAACTACTAGATAAACTTTTGTCTTGGTATTGCTATATTTAGATACAAGCTTTTCCACAAAACGTGTGATTTTCATCACTAGACAATTGGAATGATGTCAAAAATTGAAAGTGAATGATGCATGGTTTCGCTCGACTTGTGTATTTTTTTAAAATGCAAGTCATAGTGTAAAATAAAATACTATTTAACTTAGTTATCCTAAAATCCATGCTACTATCTATATATTTTGTGCCAAAATGGTCATGACGTAAACATGTTGTAATCTCTACTTTTGTGTATGCTAACAGCCTTTGAAAAATATTGATGTACTGTACATGAATGCTTCAGACTTTCCTTGCTGTTTCATGAACATTGCTGTTTCATGTCAATTGCTATCAATGTGTTAGAGCAGTGTTTCCCAAACTTGACAATTTTAAGGCATGTGGACTTCAACTCCCAGAATTCCAGCAACGCTGGCTGTGGAATTCTGGGAGTTGAAGTCCTCATGCCTTAAAATTGTCAAGTTTGGGAAACACTGTGTTAGAGGATATATTTCATGACAAAAGTCTTTAAAGTACTAAAAATATGTGTTTTTCTCTAGAAAAAAAATCCTTACCTTGATAAGCTTTAAAAATAAAAACTAGTTGCAATTAATTAATTATCCATTACTTGGAAATAAGCTCCATTAAACTCAATGGGACTTCTGATAAATTAATTATCCTAAAATAACTATTCATGCCATCTCGCTAAGACAAAACTTGCCAGATTATAAATGGTTTCCAACAGCCCTAATGTAGACTGTCTGCTTTGACCTTTTCTGTGCATCTTGCCTTTTAGTTTGTACTGTATAGTTTAATGCAACATGTGGGCCACTTGCTTGGCTTAAACAAACCATAATTAAAATGACTGATGATTTAACACAAAAGCTATATTTCTTATCTACAATATAGATTATGTACAAATGCATACTTATATTACAAAACTTTATTATATTAAAGATAAAAGTTTAATAAATAACCAATGGAATATTTTCTCCCATAAATTTTTTTTATTAAAGAATCAAACTACTTCACAAATCAATTCTTCACAGCATTCTGCTTGGGCTTTAGGAAAATTGTGAAGGCCTACCTGTTCTGTCTTGCATAAGAGGAGGTGGTGTTGTAATTGAAGGTGGGGTTCACAGTCACATGGTGTTTTGTTTGTTTTATTTTTTGCCCTTTTTATTTTTTTATGCATTTGGAAAGGTTGAATCATTATTTTCATTTTTCTATAAGTTGACTTTATTAGCCACTCAGAGCCTTCAGGAATGGGCAGCAAAATGAGTGAATGAATAAATAAAGCCCTGACCTGATTACATGCTACTTAATCTATGTTCTTGATGACACATTTATTAAAATTAGCCTCTTAGCAATTCTATAGTGATATCATAGCTTAATTCTTCTTTAATACTATTCAATTGTAAAATATCTCCAAGTTTTTAAATTTAGCATTAACCTGTACATGATACAAAAACCACCATAGCAACCTTTAGAGTTAGTGAATTGTATTAACTGTAGTTATATTCAATTTCTAGTTACCATACATGGAGGAAGCTGAGCAAGAGTTTTGTAAATTGCCTTCTAAGGTGAGAATATAAAAAGAGTAAGATTTAATTTAACTTTCAAATACAGCATTCCAACAGACTACCTAATTCATACAATAAGACAGCTAAGATTACTATCCTTTGTTGTTTTTTAAAAATAAATATGTTAATGCCACCAAACAAAGAGCCAATGATTTCAAGTACCATTTATACAGCACTTAGTGCGTAGTCATGGCTTAATATAAGTGCATTTACAAAATTAGCTACATGCATATCCAAGTATCTGGTTTCACAAGGCACATGCGAATAAGACACCAATACTGCTGGCGAAGAGAATTCAGTGTTTAGAATATATAGCACACACAAAAAAACCAGTCTCAATTAAATTCAGATAAGTATATCTTTAGATGAAAAATAACTTTCATTACCTCAGTATAATACTCTTCCTAAATATGTTACAAGTCATCAATTGGGATAGCAACTGCTTTAAAATAAAGTTGCTTTATTACAAGCACTTTTTGACACAGAACATCATAAAATAAACACTTGCTTAATAAAAATGACTAAAAACAAAAGCACAACACAAATAAGACTTGATGTTTGCAGCCAACTATTATAACAAACTTTATTATAATAAAGCCTACAACTCCAAATATTAAACAATTCTCACCGGGTTTTTGTTTAGTTGTGGTGAAAAAAGATTTATAAAGGAAAATGCAATCTCTAAATTCAACATTTAAAAGACCTCTATTAAGGTCTAAGGTAATATTAAATTTAACACCGACTCTAAAGCCCAACTATCTTTGAACGATTGCCTTTATGACGTGATTACAGCACTCCACATACCATTCTGAGTGAGACTGTTCCCCCGGCATGAAAATAGTCATTACTTTCCCCAAACCATTGTTGCTAGTTACCTCCGAGTCCCGAAGCGAGGCAAGAATAATTCCTTGTAACAAGAGTAGACGGCGACCACGCCTTCCTGCTGCTCTAACAAGTTGCCAGAGGAGCAGTCGTGTCACATTTCTTCTTTCATACGCAGCTATCCTAACGATTAGCCTGTTTGGCCAGTGTAAAACTAAGCGAGCGAAACGGCACGAAAGGGTGAGCAGGGTGGGGGCAGAGACAGGCGCACGCACGAAAGGGAAATTTCTAGTTCCCAAATTAAAAAGGGGGAAAAAAAAAACCTGCACAGAAAGCGAGAACGGAAGCAAAACGAGAAACGAGCTGAACTATTTATAATAGTAAACTAGGTGCTCTTATATACGCCGGCGCCAAGAAAGCTCGTTTATACTTTACACTCTCTCTGTAAATAATGTTTTTTTTTAAAAAAAGGGGGGGGAGGGAGATTTTTAATATCTTTTGCCCACATGTGGCAAAAAGGCACCCTTGTTCAGACATCGACGCTACCGGGAAGAACGGAAAATTTGCAACTAAACTCTGCCAAGGCAAAGTTTTTAAAAGTATCGTTGCAAGCCCTCTTCCCAGGATCGAGGCACGGAGTTTAGTTGGGACCCGGGTCCGCGCTCTAATCTCTTTCCTAAACTAAACCCCAGCGGCGATTAAGAGCCGAGCAACCGAAGTCTCCGGGGGGGCTAAAAACCTCCTCCTGTGCTCGCCCTTTCGCGGAGGGCTTTCCTTCCACACCCACCTGCTTAAGGGCAGTTTTTGCTCTCTTTCTGGGAAACGCCAAGCCCGATCCCCGACTTTGCTCGAACCAAATCCCCTCTACAGGGACAGCTTCATTTCGAGCGCGCTGGGCCGCGAAAAGGAGCAAAGCAAAAACCCCAGGAAGAGCTAAAAGTTAAGGGCAGGAGGAGAATTGCCTCAGCCGCGTTCCCATACCCACCACTTTCGACCCCGAAGATCAGCGGTGGGTAGGATGAGCCCCAGAGGCTTCGCCCTTCCCGCCCCCCCCCCAGGGAAGAAAAAAAAAACAAACAGCCCGACTCGCTCGCTCTCTCGCTTTCCCCGGCTCTTACCTTCACAGATCAGGCAGCGCTGGACTCTCCGCAGCCACCGCCGCCGCCACCGCCGCCGCCACCTCAGCCCTCGGCATGACCAGAGAGCTACTACAAGGAGGCGCCTCCCAGGCCCGACTCAACCCCGGGCTGCTGTTGCTTCTGGTGCTGCTGCTGCTGCCGCCGCCTCCTCAGCCGCTGCCATCTTGTCCTGGCGGCTGTGAGGAAAGCGCCCCACCTCAGCCCGCTCAGCTCCCCGGGCCTCTGCCTCATCTTCCCGGGGAGGGATCCAGCCTGCCGCCGCCGCCACTTCCTTTGCTGCCACCGCCCACTTCGGCGGCTGTTCTCTTCCCGCTTCTTTGGCGGCGGGGCCTGCGGGAACGAGCGCAGCTGGCTCCTCCGTCGTAGCCCTGAGCCGCCCACTCTACTCCCGGGGCTGCGAAGCCGAGGCAGCTTCTTCAACGCCGCTCCGACATGTCTCAGTTCCGTTTCCAGCCTGCGGGGATCTCCCGGCGAGCGCAAGCGGCCCGCCCTTTTCCGCAGCTGTAGCGCCCCCGGCTGGTTACCGGCCGTCTGCTATCTGGATTTCGCCATCCGAAACCCGCCTACTTCTCTGGGTGAGCATCTTTTGCCCTCGCTTGTGCCGTACGACTCTGGCAGAAGAGCCCAATAAACTGGTGTCGAGGGAGGGAAAGAGGAAGAAAGAAATCGCCCTTCCTTCCCAAGCACCGAGACCGACCTTCAGGCGGGACGAGCAAAGGGCCCTGCTGCCTTTAAAGGGGATTTAGGATTGCAGCCAAAAGCCAAGTCCACTTAACCGCTAGGCGGATTTGCAAGTAGATCTCTGAAAGAGCTCAAAGCTGTTTTCACTTCAATCTGCTTGTAATAAGTAGCCTGCTTCTCATTTGCTTGAGAAACATTTTTAATAATTAAACTTTAATAAGCAATTTGTTTCGCAACTAGAATTTCCTCTCCTTTGCACGGAGTATCCACATGAAAATGAAGCCTTTGTCTATTTCTGGCCATGATGACCAACTGACTAAAAGTACTGGATAATGATGGTCCAAAAACAAGTACAATCATGGTGCCACCTGTTCTTTTCATAGGTTGTATGTGCACAATATATCAAACTAAAAAACTAAGCCCAAAAGGGTGTGTGTGGGGGGGTTCTTTCAAGTACATTTACTGCAATTTTTCTAGCTTTGCCTTTCAGAGACCATCACTAAATTAACTATTTACATCTTAAATGCTTCCATTAATAATCATTATCCACATTGGGCACAAACAAAAAAGAAGCATGGTTTAATAGCTACCACTTTTATTTCTCCAGAAAGCCACCATCAATAGTTGCCTAGATAACGATCACTTGAGTCCAGTTTGGAACTAGAGTTTGGAACCAAGACTCATCACTCGATTTGTTAATTCCTCATAGACCTATGTTACATGCAGATTTATATTTATGAAATATAGATACAAAAGATGGTTAATGAGATGCAAATGTAAAGGCCTCTTCCCAAGGTTACCGTAGCCACAAAGGACTCGGATTCATAAGATGTTTCTTCTTTCTGCCGAATAATGAAAAAATGTTTTCAGAGATTATGACATTTTAAGCTAAACATGACCCTTAGGAATGTATACTACAGATCTCCCTAGAAGCAGCCTTTTAATTTTATATATTCTGAACTCTAGTTTCATCATGAAGCCATACAAGCTAGGAAAGCCATACTTGCTACATATCATTTATTTTATTCACAAATAAAATCTCCTTCACACTTCCTACATGACAATAAACCTCCAGGGGGAAAAATTAAGCCCCTCCTATTAGTAAAAAACAGACACTGCCAAAGAAGCTTGGCAGTAACTGAAAAACTAAGGGAAAAGCAAAATATTTAGCTATTTTCTGGAGATCTGTTGTACAACCTTTGAACACTGAGCTGCCTAGTAATGAATGACACTTCCCAGCAGCCTCTTAGGAGGCCTATTTACCTGAGTTATCTATGGATGAATGATGAGGGCATGGGCAATTTGGTACAAGCTAAATTCATCCATCAACTTTAACTGGAGAATGTCCCAAGAGGGCATGGCATACTTCTTTATTTGTTCAAAAATCATGCTGTTTGGAGTCCTGATTCATTGTTTATTTACATTGATGAGTCAACTGAAATTCCTAAATATTGATTTAGGGCTATTATTATTTTCATCAACAAGTAACATAACAAATTTCTCCCAGCAAATGATCAACTCCTAAGCTTCCTAATTATAATGGACAAAATCTATGCCAAAAGTGTACTTTGACATTGTAAAAATGGCTAGGAACAACATTTATCAGACAAACAGGCTGACTTCATATTGGGGCCTAGTTTGTGCCATGTCCCAAGAAGTTTATACAGTATTTGTAGTATTTGCAAACTTTTAACTCCAGTTCCTGGCAAATACTATGTCAGAAGTTAAAGGTCTTCTTCATCAATCAACGCTTGTTCACTTTCACAATTTTATGTAAATGCCAGTCTGCAAATGAAATTTAATGCAGCATAATATTTATTTTATTCAATTTTGCCACCATCTGACTCCATCTTTATAATAAAACAACATAGAAAGAATCATAAAATAAATGAATAAGATAGAAAATCCAATCAGTGTTAATCAGCTATTCTGTCAACTGTTCTAATCAATAGGCTACATCCTATTCCTCTAAGGTGTAATTTCGATATTAATTATATAGTGGATGATTTAAATAAAAAGGAATATCTCCCAATTTAATAAATGATAAAATAGAAATTATAGTATAGTATATTGATTCCATTGGAGATCTCAGTAGGATTAAAAAGAACATTCAGTGCAACAGGACTTTTAGCGAGAACTCATTGTTAGAAATTAACTTTTTAAAAAACTGAAATTATAAATTTTATAACCCTCTCTCCAAAAAAAAACCTCAAGAAATGTTCTTAGAATATCAAAGGACAAACTGTCCAGTCTAAATTTATAAGGTAATTGTCTGAGGCAGCCTGATTGTCCTAAGCTTGGCACTTTGCACTGAAGCTTTTGAAAACAAAGTGAAGACTAGAACCTGGATTATTATCTTTTACTATTAAGTACAATAAGCTTCCAGTCACAAGATTTGGCTCTTCAATTGAACAATTAGACAATCTTAGGTAAAGAACATAGAAATTAAACTATTAGTATGGATTCTCTTCTCCAGGCCAGAATTCAGATCCAGGCCAGAATTCAGATCAAGGATGATAAACATGGAGCATCAAACCAAATACAACAGCTTTTTTACTCTTATTTCACTAGGAATATTAACAAATGCTTTAAAAACAGCCAGTTTCTGTGTTTAGATCAACTTCAGATTTCTAAATTCTACAAGCCTTTATGCTCTCATTTTGATGTTTATCTTTAGCCATCCTAGAAGGCAGCCTTACAAACTAAAGCCCTGCCCTCTAATCTAGAGCTGAAGTAATAGAAACTTCGGTCCTTGTCCTCATATATGGACCTTTTTATATCTTAAGATAAATTAATACAACTTCATATTCAGATTTCCATGGCCAAACTAATTCATTCTAGGTTCAAGATTGTATTAGCAAATGTAGCCATATTTCAAGTAGTGGCCTGAAAAATATGGCCGCAATTAAGAATCATCTCATCTTACTTACTTCCACTATAGGAGAGTTCAATTGTACAGTAAAGAGCAAAGTAATTTTCATAGATGTCAGTATATGAGTACTCAGTTGTCTTTGCACTACAGTGAATAAATAATTACTACAGACTCTGCCAATAAGAATAAAGACTCTAAATGCCCATATATCAATCACTATATATCAACCACCATACATATTACCAAACAAAAGATTCCATTTCATCCAGTTTGAGGATTCCTATGCAGTAAAAAGGCACAAGAATTCATATATTACACATTCAGACTCTCAAGATTCTAGATTTAATAGATAAATATCAATCAAAGTCTTATACCTAAGAAACTACAAAATATGTACACAAGAGAGCATTTAAAAATTGGATTTGGATTGATTCTACTGAAGTCAGGTTAAGAAAATAACATACAAAGTTTTCCTGGATAAGAATAAAAACCTTATAGTACAGTATTATTTTCTTTTCATTGGGGCTAACATAAGTACCCTAACTGCCACCATTAATGTTCCTCAGTCATATGCAAATATTACAATTTACAAAAGAATTCACACACCCATTCTGTCAGTCAAGGCTTCTTACTTTACCAAATTTGGAGCACTCACTCCATTTCTGCGTTGAAATTCCTCTAAGTTATATTGTTTATGACAGTCATATATGCATGCATATTGCCTCATATTTTCTGTTTTAAACCTCCCCTTCTGTGCTATTGAATAATACTCACTGATGAGAGTTTAAAGTAAATAGTTACTTCTCCATTCATTCAATGCATCCTTAAAAATAAGAGACTATATGGTACATTAGCTATAATAACAACACCAAAAATATGTGACATCTTTCCTGCTAAAAGTATGTGAGGACAATTTGCTAATCATGCTGTCTATTCCAGAATAGTAGACTTACTAAGCTTTTTACAGGCCCCAAGTGGAGAAAGTATAAAACAGAGAAGGTAGATCATCTTTAAGCATACCAGAAAGGATTGTGCCATCTGCACTCTTTTAAATTGCATAGTACTCCAGAAGCATGAATCCTTCTTGGAGAGAAGAGTCCATTAACTGCTGCTGAAAGCATGGCATTGCATCAATCTGCTTCTGTTATCCATAACCACTTCCTAGGACAACTACATCTTCTTAAAAAGCAGGCATACATTTTTATTCAATGGACCTTAATCTTGCTAAGCTGTTGCCCAGAGAGAGAGAGAGATACTCCAGTAAACAAGTTAGCCACTATAAAAATTCACATCAACTTAGGCAGTTCTGAAGAAACAGTTTTAATCTATAAAGATCCCTTTGTTGTCCACATTCAGTTAAAACTACATACGTAACCAGTTTTCTACATGATTATTATGCTTTACTTTCTCAAGAAAGCTAATGAGTAACCAAGTTCATGTTTGTACATTTATAGGCTGGCAGGAAGCTTGGTAAATATTCACTAAGTCAGAAAATAGCTCTTGAGGTATGTTTTTCATCCATTAGAACTGAAAATAAGCCACTGGAAGCAATTTGTTTCTTTATTTTTAAAACAAAAACAATGGGGAAAAAACGAACAGTCATAGTGTAACATTTACTGCTTCACAAGAAATTTCAAATTCCTTGAATTAACTTTTTAAAAATTTGTTTCTTTTCAGATAGGAAAACAAAAGTTGAGTGGATGCTATACCACAGTCTTACACTGTTGATATTGTTATAGCCAGGCCTCTGTAATATAAGCCAGCCAGAGCTTACAAATACCATTGTTAATGACTCCCTTTTTGAGAGGGTAAGACTGAAAAATTAATAATGAAATGACATAACGTCATTCCCCATTTATGCTGTAACTCCTCCAGACAGAAGGAAAATATGCAAACCCTACTAGTACATAATGCTAAATCATAATGGGTGAAATTCACATTAAGTCAAACACAAAGAGACCACCTTGTAGCTTAGCATTCCTTCTGAGCGGGGTCACATTATTTACATTCATTGGATAGTAACATAGAATATTTCCTTGAAATGTAAAACTGGTGCCGTCTTCCCCCACCCCACCCCACCCCATCCATTATAATGTAATCCTGCTTTTCACCAGCACAGTATGCCTTTTACAGAATCAAAACAGTTCAAAGGCTACAGATTTTTCCTATAGGTTAGTTTGTAAAGTACAACGAAAGATAAATGACTGTAACTGCACAACTTTATGGACATAAAGCAAAGTGATAAACACCTGCTCATTTCTATCACTGTTTTGCTTTAACACATCTTTGGGATGCTTCCACAGCTGGGAAAGCTACTATTTTTATTGTTCCACTGGTCTTAAAACAATATCACATGTCATATTTTAATATATTGGCATGCGAGTGTCCAATAATCTTATATAGAGGTAGTCCTGGACTTACAACCATGACTGGCACCAGAATTTCCATTGCTAAGCAGGGTGGTTGTTAAAGGACTTGCCACCTGATTCTACAAGCTTTTTTGCCATGATTTTTAAGCAAATCGCTGCAGTTGTTAAGTGAATCATGTGGTCATTAAGTGAATCTGGTGTCCCCATTGCCTTTGCTTGTCAGAAGCCAGTTGAGGAGGTCACAAATGGCAATCAAATGATCCCAGGATTTATTATTTATATGCTCATAAATACATGCCAGTTGCAAAACGCTCAAATTTTGATCATGTGACTGTGGGAGCCTTGGTGGCTCAGTATTTAAAGTGCAGTATTGCAGGCAAACTCTGCCCACAACCTGGAGTTTGATCCTGATGATTCTCAAGGTTGACACAGCTTGTCATTCTTCTGAGGTCAGTAAAATGAGGACCCAGATTGTTGGGGACAATATATAACCCCCCCCCCAGAGAGTCTTTTAAAACAAGAATCCCCGATCCCCGATCCACTGCCCAGTGCTATGCCACAGCCCGTTGAAAACCAGGCCACACAAGTGGCAGGTGAATGCACAAAGCTATATTTGCACAAGCGTTGTATGCACATGTGAAACTATCCCCTCTCCCTCATTGCCACCGGTCCACAGAGACGGGAAAGTTGACCACTGCTTTGAAGCGGTATATAAGTCTAAGTGCTATTGCTAAAGCTATGGGGCTGTTGCAACAGTCATGTGAGGACTTGCTGTAGGTCACTTTTTTCACTTTTCATTTCTCAAATGGTCACTAAAAGAATGGTTGTAACTCAAGGACCGCCTGTATTGGATACTTTTATGCTAATATATAAGCATATGGTAGGGGTGCTTAAAGATTAATATATGAAATTCAGACTGGAGGATTACTCGGCCCCTTGGGAAAGGAGAAAAGAGTCCTCCAGAACCATGTGTTTTCCAGCAATTATTATTATCATCTTCATTATTACATTTCACTGTTAGCAAGTAGGAGCAGAAACAGACAACTGTTCACACAGTGGAACTGTATCAACTTGTTCTTTTGAGCTATTGTTAAATTTAACAATAAAACTTAGCTAGAATTTACATAGGACCAGAATCCATTGCTGAAAATACTGAATAAATAGTGGTGTAACTTAAAATAAGTTGAAGGCTTGCCTCATAGAACGATTCTTATAACACATTAAATTGCTTTTAAAAATATCAAGTCACAAGAATAATTTTGGAATAAAAACAGAAATGCAGTCTGCCAAATAATATTAATTTATGACGCAAACTGAATAACTATTACCAAAAAGGACCCATACAGTTTCAGTGGAGGTGACTTACCATTGCAGACTTTTAGAGAGTAACAAGCATTGATACGCAGAAGTGCTAGTTTGCTTTAAAAACTAGCATAACACAATTCATTAGCACACCACCAATATGCAATTTGCAGATTTCCAGTATAGATGTGTCACTAATTTCACATGTCAGAATAAGTTATTAGTCCTTTTAGAAGAAAGCACTGGTAATCTCGGTGTGGTAAGACAGAGTTAGAAGAGCAGCGAATTGAAGTAGGGCTGTTGTTGTTTTTCACAGGGAAAGTTCTTTAATCTTGACTCTGGCGTAATGGGGCCATAATTATAGAAGTAAATAAATTAACAGCCAACTGCAAAGGGGAAATTAGTGAAGCTTAAACGCTATTATTTCCCACTTAGACTCCCTCCAAAGTGCTAATTGTCGGTGTAGAAAGTATGACAGCCAAGATGGAAAAGTGTGGAAACAGCAATTAATATGTGGAAATGAAGAAAGTGCTTTTTGCTCTCCTTCTGTATTCCCCCCCCCCCTGAACATTCTATAATAAGAACACAAAACACCTGAACTAACAGGCGGTCTTTGTTTTGCATTTTAATTTTTATCCTATCAAAATTCAGAATCTAACCACTGTGTCTAGTAATCGGATATGGCAAGAACAGATGGAAGATTCTTCTCAATGTAAAAAGTATCCCACATTTGTTGTCTCCTGACCTGCCCCCTTCTTTCCCCACCTGCTTATCTTTTTCAAGTCTCAGTACATATACTGGAGTTAATTGAATAGAGAAAAGTGGAAAAAAAAATCTGCCTCTTTTAGTGTTCAGTTGATAGAATGTCTCACTGTGTTCAGCAGGTAAATATGCACAGTATTGTAGATCTACTACAATACACTCCTACATACTGTATGGCCACCCATTAGTACATTTCAATAATAGAGTTTACTTTGTAGTAAGTGTATTTAGAACTGCACTCTTAATCTTCTCTGTGTTGTTTGTTACATGGATGAAGGAACCAAAGTTCGTTTATGGTGAGCCACCAAGTCATTTTTGACTCCCAGCAACTACATAAGATTTTCTCTATGACAACCTATCCCTAACCTGTTCTTTCAAGTCTCCCAAGGATGTACTATCTTGCTTCTTTGTAGTCTAACTTTTGCTTCTTTTGTCACAAGGAATATCATAGCTTCCACGATTCTGACCTTTGTAAGTATAGAGACATCATAGCATCTGAATGTCTCCTCTAAGGCCTTCATGGCTGCTCTACCAAGTGCTATCTGTGACTATCTGTGTTTCTTGATTGTTTGATCCTTTTAGTTGATCCTAAAAGGCAGAAACCATTGACTTTTCTATTTTCATTGCCAGCTCTAGGGCTGGTTGTTCTACCTGTTGTCATTAGTTTGGTCTTCCTTCTATTTAATTTTAGTCTGATATTTTTACTGTGCTCTTTGACTTTTAGTATCAGGGCTTTCGGATCTTTTGCATTTTCAGTTATTAGAATAGTGTTATTAGCATACCACAGGTGTTTCTTCCTCCTGTTTCTTCCGATGCAGCTTTTCTTAATATATATTCCACATATAGGTTGAATAAATAAGAGCGTATGCAGCCTTGTCACATTCCTTTGCCAACCTGAAGCCAGTTTGTTTGTTTGATTGTTACAGAATTTATATGGCTGCCCATAGAATTTATATGGCTACCCACTCACTTTCAGTGAGTCTAGGCAGCTTACAAACATTAAAAAAAAACAATATAAAAAGAGTAAAAACAGTTTGTTTCACCATGTTCTGTCTATATGGTAAAAACTCTAGTTCATAGTAAACCTAATCATTGTTTACAGAGGTTTAACACTGGTCCAAAGAGAGAGAAGAAGCCAAGAGATTGCCTATGTCATGGCAGGACTCACCAGTGCCGTACATGGGAAATCAGGAGACATGAGCTCTTCTAATTCAGGTAACAGGACACCCTGCCTTGTTGCTGAATTGACACAAACTGAGTTAGTTGATGCCAGTGCTCTCTGTCCTATGACTAGAACTGAATCCAGAAGGTACAAATAAAATGGTCCACATAAAAAGAACCCCAATGGCACAGTGCTTAAGTGCACTGTTGCTGGCAAATTCTGCCCACAGCCTGGAGTTCGATCCTGGCAAGGCTCAAGGTTGACTTAGCGTTCCATTCTTCGGAGGTTGGTAAAACGAGGAATCAGATTGTTGGGGGCAATGTGCAAATGATACTTCTGTATTGTAAACCACCTAGGAAGTGCTGAAAAGAGCCACGGGGCAGTATGTAGCTACTCACCTTGACTTCCATATCCACTAGCTTTCCCAATTTTTTATCCTCTTTTGACAGTGGAAAATTTCCTGGATGGCCATTTCTATTTAATATAAGCCTAAATGATATTCCTATTGCTATAATCTGCTTCCTCTAGGGTATTCTGCATCTGAATCACTGTTTATGCCTCAACACCCTTTCCCACAAAGAAAGATTGAAACTGGATAATAGTTCTCAAAAAGGGCTACGTCTAGAGCCTCTTAAGGAGGTAGTCTGCAAAATCTCCTTCAAGAGATTTTGCAGACTATCCTCCGCGAGCTGCACTGGCTTCCTGTGGGTTTCTGGACGCAATTCAAGGTGTTGGTTATCACCTTTAAAGCCCTTCATGGCTTAGGACCAGGTTACTTACAGGACCGCATACTGCCGCATAGTTCCCAGAGACCAGTGAGGTCCCACAGATTGGGCCTCCTTCAGGTCCCGTCGGTCAGACAATGTCGGCTGGCGGGCCCTCGGGGAAGGGCCTTTTCTGTGGTGGCTCCAACCTGGTGGAGTCAACTTTCCCCCGAGATTCAAACTGCTCCCACCTTGCCGGCCTTTAAGAAAGCCATTAAAACTCTCCTGTTCCGGCAGGCCTGGGGTTGATGTCCCCAGGGGGGCTGGGATACGATTGGGACATGCTGTATGAATGCACTTATTTTACTGTTTTATTGTTATATTTATTGTTTTAATTTTGTATGCCACCCTGAGTCCCTAGGGATTGGGCAGCATATAAATTTTAAAAATAAATAAATAAATAAATAAGACTGCCAGCATCCCTCTACCCAAGTGAAAACCTTCTAGATTCATCACACATACCTTGACCCACAAAATATCAAGAGAGGTTTAGATCAAGCCGACAAATGGCAGAAGTCTTGAGACAGAGTAGCACCCTGTTCACTTCCTCAAAACATACTAGCTGAAAGGAGCTGCAGATAACATAACTAGACTTTGGTCCAGCCACTACATCAGAATCTGCCCAGGAAGAGCCAAGACCTTCTCAAACCTGAATGACCTGACCAGTACAATGCAAAAAAAAAAAAACCAACCAGGTAGGAGAATTATCTGTTCATCCCTTCCTAACAGGGAATTTGCCATCCTCAATAAGACTGCTGACAGTTCACTGATACTTTGCCTCCCTTATTGCTATAATGTCAGCTCAAACACGAGCTTGTACTTGTATGTATGCAGTCCAAAGACATCTGCAGATTCCAAAGTCTTCAACAGAGTAATGAAAAATACACTGTGATGTTGTGATGGAAATTATGTATAATACGTACTTGTGAGTGACTCACCACACATGTACAAAAAGGAACAAGTATGTATCACAGTGTCATGATGCATTTTCCCCCTAATTTATCTTTTTTGCCTCTTTCTCCCTCACCATCTCTACACACCTCTCATTTGAAAATGTTCTTTTTTCTTTACTTCTTCCACCAATGCTTTAGGTGTCATTTCTGCTTCTTCAATTCCTGGAGCTCTTCAGTAAAGTGACTAATCTGCATAAAGAGACTGCTTGAGAGAAGTCTTGTCAATCTCTGGATCTCCTCCTTTTGCCAGAGGTTAAATATGCAGTTTACAGAACTGGTGACAGACCACACTGACGTATTTGGAATGACCTTGTGATAACTTAACACTGGCATGTTTGCAAAAAAAGTTCAAAAGAATTGTTTGCATCTTCCAAAGTTTACATTCCATAGATTTGCCATCATAACATGCAGAGCATCCACGTTGTTAAGCTGGAAGAGGCAGCAATCCCAGGGAAGCAGGTCAGCCAGGGTGGGTGCATAGGTGCTGTAGGGAGGAACATGGACAGGCAGTCCAGAGTGCATGTGGGTACCTAGGTGATAGCAATAACAATAGCACTTAGACTTATATACTGCTTTACAGCTCTCTCTAAGCAATTTACAGAGTCAGCATTTTGCCCCCAACAATCTGGGTCCGCATTTTACCGACCTCGGAAGGATAGAAGGCTGAGTCAACCTTGAGCTGGTGAAAATCGAACCGCTGGTAGTCGGCAGAATTAGTCTGCAATACTGTATTCCAACTACTGTGCTACCATGGTGAAGCAGGGTGTGCTGCAGGCAGGCACTCTGAAGTGCAGGTGGGTGTTCAGATGATGCAGGGGATGCTATGGGCAGGTGCTCCAGAGTGTTCCTGGGTGCTGTGAGGGTGGGGGTGCACTGTGGGCAGGTGCTCCAGAGCATGGGCAAATATGCAGATGTCATGAAGTTGAGAGTGCCACAGGCAGGCACTCTAAGTACATGGATGTCCGTGGATGCTGTGGATGGTGGGAGTGCTGTACACAGATACTATGCAGACTAGGTGGGCGAAGTTGGAGCAGGAGTATCTTCCAACTTCCTGCCAGATTCCTCATTGACTTTGCTGGTGGGAAGCTGGCAGGGAACAACAGAAATTGTCACCCAAGTGCCCAAGTCACAATCAGGTAACTGCAGGGATACTGTAACAACCAGAACTCCAAGGATTGGTCATAAGTCCTCCTTGTTTAGAGCTATTGTAATTCTGAATAATCACTGAATCAGTTGTTGTAACCTGAGGACTACCTCTAACAAGTTTGGGATAATAAGCCTGTTTAAAATTATAGTTACTACAGCCCAATTATGTATGTCTATTTAGAAGTAAATGTTATTATGCTCATTGTGGTCTCAAATAAGTATGCATAGCATGTCTTAATCATGTGTTTAGTAACAAGGAAAAATACTTAGTAAATACCTCAAAGAAAAACATTGCTATTTATAAACATGATAAATATCTCGCTGTAGTTTTTACTCTAAGTATTTTTAAATAAAATATTATGAGATAATCCCCATCTTATGAATTTCATTATGTTCACTAGCCATTATACCTATATTCTAAACCTAAATTATCTAAATATTATTCCATGGGTAAGCAAAACTGTCAGCAGATTAATATTTTTCATAAAATAAAGAAACACTATCTCCACTGTTAATAGTGATCTTACTAGAAAAAATATAATCACAAAACTAATAGCAGTACATCCGTAAAATGGTATACAAGTGCTTGATAACCTGTATGCAGTCTTCTATTGAATATTAGAGATTTTGATACACATATTTTTAGCTAATTTAAATGTTTGTGTAGATTGTGTTTGTATACAGTATAAGAGTGTGTATAGTCTATTAAGACCACTTTTAGAATAAAAATAAATTCATATAATTAATTTGAGATACAATTATTTTATTTATCCCTTAATACAGTAGGTTATTAAAATATTTGTAATTTCAAATATATATATTTATATATATATATATATAAAATCAGCAACTCCAAGTAGTACAGTAATTCTTCTTATTGTAATCAATATGCTTGTTTTGGAAGAATTGCACTTTTCAGAAGTATTTTGTCATCTACTGAAAATCTGGGTCAAGTCAAATTGAGCACCAAACCAAATAGTGTTAAAATGCAAACTTTCACGTAATATCCACTCTTTTTTTAAAAAAAAAAAAAAAAGGTTGAACTTTTAATACATCGGTTGGACTTTAAAAATAAATTATCACAGGTGAAATGCAGCAGATGTCAATTAATTGGAAGATGATTCAGTATTGTGGCATGTATAAAAATTGCTTTTTTGATCCAATTATTCATTCACTAACAAGGGGCATTGCTTAGCCAACCTTAACTTATTTGGGAAAATGAATCAGAATCTGACTTGGGTAGAACTTGGATGTGAGACCAACAGGAAGCCCATGGTTGTAGCATAGACTGATTATTATTCAAAACAGTCCAGAGCATTTTTACAAAATAATAAGAAAACCATCTTAAATAAAATTCCCAATACTCCCAAAGGTAACTAAAATGCAAATATGGTATTAAAATATGATTTAATTTATCTCTGTTAACTTCAAGATTTTGTTTCAAAATATTCATAGTAATATTTATCTTTTATTGCATTACCCAAAACATAGTAACATAAAAAGCTTCCATTGCTTACAAAAAAGTTCATGCATTTTCATTAATAGAAATTGATCTTCATCAATTTCAAGATCTTACTGGTGGTTATAAATATTCCTAAATTACTTTTCTAACTTAGTTTTCTCATTTTGATAACACTAAGTATAAATAGAAATTAATTTCTGAATCTGAAATTCTGGCTGCTATTCCGCTTGGCCCCAAGACTGCAACACCTAAAAGTATACTGAGATCCACTGTCATGATGATGCATATAAAATATTGGAATCAAAGCCAACAATCCAAACAGGTCCCTGATAGAACTCTCATTTATCTACCTCAAGTTCCTAAAATCATGGCATTTAAGTACCAAGAGTTAGAGCTGGGCTGAAAAGTGGAAATTATGCAGAGAATATGTCTAATACATCCTGCAAACTCTCCTCCCTGCTATTGCACAGGAAAAAATGTTTTGCACTTTATTGCAGACTTATGCAATACAAATATTTTGTAAGTAAAGACTGAAATAGAGGAGGAGAATGAAAAGCAGAGCAGCCTGGGCAGAAATAAATACATACTGAGAACATGTCCTGGCTACGTAGGCCTTTATCAGAAGATTAATATTCTAACAATAATAGAATTCAGTGCTTAAGTATCATGTGGTTTTCATCATGGCCAACAATGTTATAATGCCAGACATAACAAAAATTGTTTTTGCT